GGAAGTGGCGCTGTGGCTCAAGTGGTAGAGCGCTAGCCTTGAGCTAAAAGAGCTGAGGGACAGCGCCCAGGCCCAGAGTTCAGGTACCACGACTGGACCCAAAAAAAAAAAAAAAAGAAAAAGTCAGAAGTGGCACTTGTGGCTCAAGTGGTAGAGTGCTAGCTTTGAGCAAAAGAAGTTCAGGAACAGTGTCTAGTCCCTGAGTTCAAGCCCCAGGACTGGCAAAATAAAAAGAGGCTGAAGAGTAACATCCATTAGTCAGAATGAATTTAAAATCAGTATTCTCCTTAGTTTTATTGAGTATAATTGTCACATAATACATGTAAGGTCCGCTCCTGGATGGCGAGCAGACTCCACCCTCCTCGCAGCAAAGTCTCTACCCAGTACCTGCATTACCTAGGCAACTAGCACACCTGGAAGAGGTCACATCCGCACTTGCTGAGGTCACATCTGAATTTGATGTGGCCACACCTTTGTCCGCCCATACCCTAGATAAGGCCTAGCCCAGGCCCAGATGCTCTCTTTCCCAGCTCTTTCTTTCTCAGCACTTTCCCAGCTCTCTTTCCCAGGTCTTTCCCAGCTGCATGGAGTGCCAACTGGGCCTAGTGCCAGCCAGAATGATAAATAAACCTACCCATTACCTGAATACCACGTGCGTGGTGTGGTTCTTACTCGGCAACCTCCTTTTAAAAACCTAACAATACACAGTATCCTCATGTCCCTTTATAAATTCTTCCTCACCCCATCATGCCAATTCCTTTTAATTCAGAAAGAGATCCAGCAAAAAAAAGTTACCACAGAATAGAATATAGAGCTCTATGAAAGAACATGGCAGGCTGGGAAGGTGGCTCAGTGGTAGAGTACTTACCTTGCATACATGAGGCCCTGGGTTTGATTCCTCAGCACTACATAAACAGAAAAAGCCAGAAGTAGTGCTGTGGCTCAAGTGGTAGAGCACTAGCCTTGAGCTGAAGAGCTGGGTGACAGCACCCAGACCCAGAGTTCAAGATCCACAACCAACGGGAAATAAAGAACACAGAAGTTACTAATATCTTCACTAGTGGTTTCTGTAACAAAGACTTCTATGGCCACATATTAGTACTGCCATATTTGCATATCCAAACTCTCCTTTGTCACCAATGATTCTGTATTATACATACAGATCACTGTACTTGTTTGGAAAACAACATAGAAATTGAGCATCAAAACTCATTTTACAATGTAACTGTAAACTGGAAGGGCACATGGAGACTTACCACTGCCTCGCTCCCTGGAACAGACAGACTTGACACTGTATGATGGCTGCCGTGGATCCAAAAAGGAGACGTGAGCCTGAGAGCCCACTGCATACACTGACCATTCACTACCATAGGCCAGACACACATTCTCACGGCAATACGGAAGTTTGGTGGATAGGAGCTGAAAACAATGAGAAGACATATAGCTGTGACATCAAACCAGTAATCCTACACACAGGAGGCTGAGGTGGGAAGATCCAAAGTTTCGGGCCAGTCTTGTCTACAAAGTAAGATCCTGTCCTGAGAACTGACACAAAAAAAGGGAGGGAGAGGAATCTTTCCCTACCTTTGTAGGGTTTTTCATCACACACAAGCAATGTTAAGTTACGAGACCAACTCAGAAAAAACTGGTGGCTCTTGCCTGCAACCCTGTCCTACTCAAGAGGTTGAGAACTGGAGGTGGTGGTTTGAAGCCATCCCAGGCAGAAAAGTCCGCAAGACTCAGTCACCATCAACCAGCAAAAAGCCTAGCTGTATGGCTCAAATGGTACAGTACCACCAACAGGCAAACAGTCAAAACAAAATGTTTTAAGTTTAAGTCACAGTATTGCCACAAAAACAAAACCTCCCCAAATTAGGGAAAAAGGTAAATCTAAAATTAAATACTCAGAATGGTAGGAAAGGCTTAAAATTACAGGCTGTTTCCAGGAATAATCCCACAGCAAGAAAGCTAACATCCACATCCTGTACTATCTCTAGGAAGGGCCACTACCTTCTTCACTACTCTTTAGATAAAGGAGCTAATTTCTGCCTACCTTTAGTCTATCTCCCCAGTTGAACAGGAATTGCATACTACAGAAAGTAAACCCACAGAACTGGCTTCATCCCAGATAACCTAAATCCACCTTAGATGCTAAATGCTTGTGATCTAGCAAATCTATACCATATAAAGTCAGTAGAGCTCAAAGCTTTTGGGATTTAAAATGAGTAATTCCTAGAGCCTTGCAAGCAAATGCCTATCACAGAAGAAACAAACAAGCAAAAGCCTCTGAATATAGACAAATAACACACATGTAGGTTGTTTGTAAGTACTATAAATTCAATCCATTTTTTTATGTGGGCCTGATGCTACACATCTGTAAACCCAATGCTTGGGAGACTGAGGCAGGAAGATCTCCACTAAGAGGCTAATTCAGACTACACAGCAAGACCTGCCTTTAAAAAAAAAAAAAAAAAGCAAGCTGGGTGCCAGTGGCTCATGCTACTCAGGAGGCTGAGATACAAGGATTGTAGTTCAAAGCCAGCACGGGCAGGAAAGTCTGGGGAACTCTTATCTCCAATAAACTACTCAGAAAGCCGGAAATGGCGCTGTAGCTCAAATGGTAGCGCTCTCGCCTTGTGCTGAAGAGATCAGGGACACTGTCCAGGCCCAGAGTTCAAGCCCCACGACCAACAACAACAACAAAAAAAGCATTCAGGGAATGGAAACAACGTTGGTTTTTGTTGTTGTTTTTGTCTTGTTTGTTCATTTATGTTTTGGGGGGCACAGAAAGGGAGGGACAAAAGGGTAAACAAATTCAGCAGTGATACTCACTAGAACTTGTTGGTAGGGATGGGAAGGAAAAATGGGAGAGAGTGAAGGGGTGACATTGTCCAAAAGAGAAACTCTCTACCTGACTTACATGACTGTAACCATCTATTCCTTTATAATAATAATAATAATAATAATAAATTTACAACAACAAAAACAACAAACCAGCCAAGCACTAGTAGCTCTTACTTGTAATCTAGCTACTCTGAAGACTGAGGTCTTGAGATTTGAGGATTACAGTTTGAAACTAGCCTGTGCAGGAAAGTCTGAGTGATTCTTTATTTTCCAATTAACAACTGTGGCTCAAGAAGTAGAGAGCTACGCCGGGCGTTGGTGGCTCACGCCTGTAATCCTAGCTACTCAGGAGGCTGAGATCTGAGGATCGAGGTTCAAAGCCAGCCCGGGCAGGAAAGACCGTGAGACTCCTATCTCCAATAAACCACCAGAAAACCGGAAGTGGCGCTATAGCTCAAATGGTAGAGCGCTCGCCTTGAGCTGAAGAGCTGAGGGACAGCGCCCAGGCCCGGAGTTCAAGCCCCACGACCGACAAAAAAAAAAAAAAAAAAAAAGAGAGAGCTAGCCTTGAGCAAAAAAGCTCAAGGACAGTACCCAGGTCTGGAGCCCCAAGGCTGGCACAAAACAAAACAACAAAACCTCCTGCAAATTGCAGTTTAGAGTTAGCACAGTCAAATTTTTGAGACTCTTACCTCCAATTACTAGTAAAATGCTAGAAGCGGAAGTGTGGCTCAAGTGGTAATTGTGCCAAAGTGAAAAAGTGGAATGAGAGTATAAGGCAGTTACCTGACTATTTCACAGGTGTTTTGCTCCTTTTACATTTCTCTGCTCATACAACATACTAAGCAATCAATAATCCATGCACAACGCCTAAATATACTGTGCACTGGAGGAAATGTAAGGAAGGCCCTCAGTAAGCCTGTGCAATCTGGAGAGGCTCATCCTCAAATCTTTTTCTTTCTTGCTTTTTGTCTCTCTCCCTCTCCTTTTCTTTTTGTCCTTCCTGGGCCCTGAGTTCAGGTCTAAGCTCCTTTTGCTCAAGGATAGGACTCCATCACTTATGCTACAATGCCACTTTGGGCTTTTTCTGTGATTAGAGATAAGATTATCATGGGGGGAAAAAAGTGTCTCATGGACTTTCCTGCCCAGGCTGGCTTTGAACTGCAACCCTCAGATCTCAGCCTCCTGAGTAGCTAGGATTACAGGTGTGAGCCATCAGTGCCTGGTTCAGATCTTCTTAAAAGACTTTTCCCTTTGCCAGGTGCTGGTGGCTCACACCTGTAATCCTAGCATCCTAGCTACACAGGAGGCTGAGATTTGAGGATCACAGTTCTAAGCCAGCTTGGGCAAGAAAGTCCATAAGACTCTCAACTCAATAAACCACCAGCAAACCAAAAGTGGCACTGTGGCTCAAGTGTTAGAGCACTCACCTTGAGCTGAAGAGCGCAGGAACAGCACCCAGGTTCTGAGTTCAAGTCCCATGACAGACAAAAAAACTTTCCCTTCAAAAAAAGCAGGCCAGGGCTGGGAAGGTGGCTCAGTGGTAGAGGACTTGCCTTGCATGCCTGAGGCCCTGGGTTCGATTCCTCAGCACCACATAAGAAAAAAGCCGGAAGTGGCGCTGTGGCTCAAGTGGTAGAGCGCTAGACTTGAGCTGAAGAACTGAGGGACAGCGCCAGGCCCAGAGTTTAGGCCCCACGACCGGACCCCCTCCCCTCAAAAAAAAAAAAGCAGGCCAATAAATGACATGCAAATCAAAACAAACCTGAGATACCATCTTCCCCTAGTTAAGACTGGCCAACATTTTGAATTCTAACAACAAATGCTGGTGGGAATGTGGGGACAAAGGAACCTTACTGCACTGCTGCTAGAAATATAGACTAGTACAACCACTATGGAAGGCAGGCTGGAGGTTCCTCAAGGAACTAAACATAGTCCTTCCTTACAACCCAGCCATACTACTCCTTGACATCTACCCTGAGCATCCGAAGCCAGGATATGATAAGGACATCTTCACATCCATGTTTATTGCAGCACTATAGCCAAGATATAGAAACAATCCAGATGCCACACAATAGATCAGTGGATCCAAAAAGAGTGGTACCTATATGATGGAATTTTACACAGCCAATAGAAAAAATAATGTCATCTCCAGGGAAATAGATGGAACTAGAACAAACCATGTTAAATGAGGTAAGCCAAGATCAGAGAGACAGTGCATGTTCTCCCTGCTATATTACATCTAAAAGGCACTGAGAGAGCTGGGAATATGGCTCAGTAATAGAGTACATGTCTAGCATGCATGAAGCCCCAGGTTTGATTAATTAGTACCACATAAACAGAAAAAAGCCTGAATGTGGTGCTGTGGCTCAAGTGGTAGAGCTTTAGCCTTGAGCTCTTCAAGAGCTCAGGGACAGCATCTACACCCTGAGTTCAAGCCCCATGCAGGCAAAACAAAAAAAAAAACAACAAAAAACAATCCATATATACTAATAGCATCACATATTGAATGAAGTCCCTTTCCTTTACTCACCCTCCCTGGATCTCATGCACCTGAGTTCCTATGGAAACCCTGGAGACTATGGACCAGGTGGTGATGCCCAGGGGAAAAAAAAAAAAAA